CTCAGCTCTTCAGCTCAAGGCGAGCGCTCTACCGCTTGAGCCACAGTGCCACTTCTGGTTTTCTAGTGGTTTATTGGAGATAAGAGTCTCATGGTCTTTCCTGCCCGGGCTGGCTTTGAACCGCGATCCTCAGATCTCAGCCTCCTGAGTAGCTAGGATTACAGGCGTGAGCCACCGGCGCCTGGCTTTTTTGCCAGTCTTTTTATGTTTCCATGTTCCTGATACTTTTGTTTTCGTTGAACTTCCTACTTTAGCATTTCTTAGCAGGCAAGTTAGTGATGATGAACATCCACAGCTTTTGCTTGGGTTTAGTCTTATCTCTCCATTTCGGAAGGATAGCTTTGCCAAGGGAAGTACCTTGTTCTTCTTCAGCACTTTAACTATAGTCTCATCCTCTTCTGAGTAACAGTGGTTTTGCTCTGAAATGTGTGATAGTGAAATTGGAGTTGTGTGTAACATACTTCCTTCTGGTTCATAATCCTCTTTTTCTTTGACAATTTATTGTCTTGGAATAATTTTACTGGATCCAATCTGATTTGTAACTTCGGACCTTTTTGTAACTTTTTCCGGACTTTCTGACATTTATTCAGCTATTTTAAGCTCTTTTTTTCCTTTTTCTTCTATGGTTTGAACCCTGTACTTGCTAGACAGACACACTACCATTTAAGCTACTTTTGTGTGTGTGCTGGTCCTGAGGCTTGAACTTGGTCTGGGTGCTGTCCCTGAGCTCCCCCTCCTTTCCCTCCCCCCATTGCTAGTGCTCTATCACTTAAGCTGCAACTCCACCTCTGGTCCTAGTCCTTTTAAACTTTTATTTAAAGGTTTCCGTTTGTTCCCAGGAAGCCTCAGACTGCAGTCTTCCCACCCATGCCTCCTACCGAGCTGCGATTACCAGCATGGACCACCAACACTGGGTTACTCCAACAGGATCTTAGTAACTTTCTGCATTGGCTAGCCTTGAACCCTACCTCCCAAATTGCCAAAATGGCATTTCTCTAAATCCAAGAATTTGAATCCTTTCTCTTGGTGCTGTTTAATGAACTCTATGGGATCCCATTTTGTTTCTTTTCTGACTGTATATAATTGGCCCTCCACACCTGAAGATTCCACTTCTCTGGGGTGAAAAATATTTTTTCTTTTTTTTTTTTGGGTCCGGTCGTGGGGCCTGAACTCTGGGCCTGGGCGCTGTCCCTCAGCTCTTCAGCTCAAGGCTAGCGCTCTACCACTTGAGCCACAGCACCACTTCCGGCTTTTTTCTTTTTTCTTATGTGGTGCTGGGGAATCGAACCCAGGGCCTCAGGCATGCAAGGCAAGCGCTCTACCACTGAGCCACCTTCCCAGCTCATGGGGTGAAAAATATTTGAAAACACAATTGTGACTGTACTGAACATGTACATACCATAACAATGTAGCATTTATATTCTTAGGCATTGTAACACAATGATTTCAAGTCTAAAAGCATTGTAGATTATATGCAAACATGATGTCTATTTATATAAAGGATTAGTTCACGAGTGGATTTTGGTATCTTGGGGTGGGTCCTGAAACTAGTACCTTGCAGGAACTGTATTTTTGTTGTTGTTGTTGTTGGTTGTGGGGCCTGAACTCTGGGCCTGAGTGCTGTCCCTGAGCTCTTCAGCTCAAGGCTAGTACTCTACTACTTGAGCCACAGCACCACTTCTGGTTTTTCTGGTGATTTATTGGAGTTTCACGGACTTTCCTGCCTGGACTGGCTTTGAACCACAATCCTCAGTCTCCTGATCAGCTAGGTTTACAGGTGTGAGTGGTAACTGTATTTTTAAAGAGCCTGTCTTTGAGTTCACAAGCTGTTTCTTCTGGTCCATCACTTTGACATACTGCTATGGTCTGGGTAAGTGTCCCTCAAAGGCCCATGGGTTAATGCCCTGTCCCCAGCTCATGATGCTATTATGAAATGGTGGGACCTTTCAGAGGTGTGTGGCCTAGCAGGAAGAAGTCAGGTCACTCGAGTTAGGCCCTTCAAGAGGATATTAACGCCAAGCCCCTTTTCTTCCTGGCTGCACTGAGGTGAGCAGCCTCCTCTCATGTGTTCCTACCAAGATGTACGACTTAACACAGGCCCCAGGACATGCCAGCTGACCGTGGACAGCTGTCCCAAAACAGCCCCAATCAACCTTCCTTCCTTGTGTCATGTTTTGTTCCAGAAATATAAAGCTTTAGTTTGTTTCTTTTTTTGTATCATTCTGTCCCTTGTCTTGATTTTGTCAAGTTTTTTATCTGTGGGTATGTTGCACAAGGGATTGAACCCAGGGCTTTGTTTTCAGCATGTACTCTCTTACTCGGGCCATACCTCTAGCTCTCTACTTTTTTATGCTTGACAGTCTTCCTTAAAACATTTTGAAGTCTTTGTTGTATAATTTGCAGATCTCCAGTTCTTTGAGGCCAGATCCTAGAAGGTTGTGTGCATGTCTCCTTGATTCTTCAGGTTTTTCTTTTTTTGGCGGGGGCGGGGGTGGTGGTGGTGGTGGTACTGGAGCTTGAATGTAAGAGCCTTTTGCTTATAGCTGGAGCTCTACCACTTGTACTGTGCCTTCACTTCCTTTTTTTCTTTTTTTGCCAGTTAACTGGGTAAGAATCTTGCATATTTGTCTCCTTGGGCTGTCTCTGAATCTTGATACTCGGGTCTCAGCCTCTTGTGTAGCATTACAGGAGTGAAGCACCAGCACCTGGCTCTTAGGTTAATTTCTGTGCATTTGGGGAGTTAGCATTTCTTTTTAACTTGGTAGGCTGGTTTCAGGGTAAGACTTCCCTTGGGTGAGGCAGGGGAAGGCTAGGTGGAGTTAATTGCTTTTGGCATAGCATTAGGTGTGGTAGTCTCTGGGCAGCTGTTGGTGCCATTAAGAGACATTGCAAGGCTCCTCGGAAGTCTACACTGCCGTCTTGGAAGGATTTTGGATCTTCAGAGATGATACCTCCTCTTCCTTCCACTGGGTGTATGCAGCACTAGGGTGGCTTGGTGTGGAGTATAGACAGGAAAGAAGTGACAGGGCACAGCCCTCAGGCCTACTTGCACTGAGCAGCAGTGGTTCTGGCAGAGCAATCCAGATGACTGAGCAACCCTAATGCCTTCAGCCTCTGCTCCTCCTCCATTGTCTCCCTGTACATCAGAATGCTGATCAAAGCAGCAATCCTGCATGTGAATAGTCTGTTTCACTCAGCTGTGTTGCTGCTGATTTTTGAGTCATCCAGGTATTGGTTTGTGGATGGCTACTTTTGTGTTCTGCCTATACAATGAATATTTAGGCTATTTGTAGATATGCATTATAAAAATAATGTGTTTGTAGCCAGTTCAACAAATGGCAGACTATTAAAAATTGTTCCCAACAGAATAAGGTAGCAGGTTTACTTGAAAGTCCTTTGAACAGTGGTTTTCAGACCCTGGTGGTCTTGCTACACCCAAGATTGCTCAACTCCACCTATGAACTTTCTCATTCAGCAGGTCTGGGCTGGGTGTAGGTAATGCTTGCAGGTTGCACAGACACCCACACCTAGAACATTTCTTTACAGTTCTAGGTCTGTACTTGTAATTGACTGCATTATGTTGGGCTTTTCTACTCTGTTGATTTTCCTTGAATTTAACAGAATGAAGCAAGGCCTAAGAAAGTAAGGTCAAAAGTTTTCCCAGGCTGGAGCTGGCTGACCTTACTGCTCAGTGGGTAAGCATGGGCACTTGCCCACCTTAGAGGAACAAAAATGTAAGTTCTTGACAGGCCAGCAGGTGGCGACAAGGGCCCTGCAGCCTTCATTTTGCCAAGCAGTGGAAGAAAGGTGGGGGCAGGTGTAAACAAACACAGCATTGGCTCAAATGAATGACCAGTGTGAAGATCTGACACTCAGTGTTATTGAAGGGATTACTGATGAGCTCAAATCTGGCAAAATTCCCAAACCTGGGGAAAGGTTTCTCATGAGAGCCAATGGAAGGATGACCTCTTTTACCTACAGGACCTGGCTTCAGTGTTCATGGGGGAAATATGTCTCCACTGTGAATGCAGAGAAGGCATGAACCTCGTCTCTAAAAAACCACAACATTAAGACCTTTAAATGAAGAGCAAGTTTTATTCTAAAAATAGATCTCAGTAACAAATACCAAAAGCTGGTCACCTTAATAGAAAAGAACAGTAACAAGATTTTGCTTCATTTTTTTGTTGTGAAAATACAAAATTAAAGTCATATTGTAATAAGCTGCCAACTCTTATTTGTCTATTTGAATTATTCCTTTCATATATAATCCCAGATCTTTTTTAGGTGTGGATTGTTTTTATCTTCAAGTAAACATAATTAAGGAAGACAATTTATGTTTAGGGCAATGTGTTCCAAAGTAACTGTTTTGCATTACTGTTTTCTTCAGTTTCTGCAGAGTAAAATAATTCACAGAAAATAACCAATCACTTATATACAGAGAAAAGTCTAAACTACATTATTTTCAACCCAAAAAGCAAGAGGACACTTTCAAGGCAAATACTGGCACTCAGTACTGTAAAAGTAGTTTTCTATCTTCAAAGTGCTAAAGCAACAAGTATTCAAGAGAAACCTGAGGCTAGTACTGAAGTACGTGAGAGGCTACACAGATACTATGCAGGGAAATGAAAGCACTGGCTGCACAACCAGCTAGACTAGTTAGACCAAGTTAGTCACAGACAACTGACTCATTTTAAGATCAACCTGAACTATACAAGGTTTATACCATTTCCTGCATGATCTGTAGATCAAGCCATGGTGAATAATTTTTATCATCTACACTCATCACATCAATCAGTTGGTCATAATGCACAGCAGGTAGAAATGACCTTTTCACATCAATATCTTGCTATCTGGCATTCTCTCCAAACCAAAAGCTGATAGCATACGTTATTTTTTTGTGTGTGTTATTTTTTTAATCTAAAGGTAGGTGTCTATTCACCAGGGCATTTTTATTCATTTTTACTTTCAGAAATTTCTTACTTACCAATTTCAGAAATTGGTAAGATTTTGGCCCTCTAGGACAGAAACGTTATCTTAGTATTTAGTGACTAAGTTTCCCCTTTTATTAAAGCTTGACCCTGAGTTTGAGTGCTAGAATATAAACTGTAAAACTGTGAAAACACCCCAACAATACACTGGCTAGCATTGGTGTTTCTATAATACTGTGCTTTTTCTCTTAACATAGTGCATCTGAAAGTACTTCCCCAATAACAAAGAAGGATAGGAGTTGTCTAGGGAGTACCCAGGTAAGCAAAGTATCTAAAATAAGAATTTACTCCAAAATATACTTATAAAATGTCATTTCCCCATACCCAAGTAAAACTACAGTGTACTAAAATGCAGGTGTATAAACTGGTGAGATCTTGGTCCTGCTTTAGTAAACACAGCATTCGCCTATAATTCTGTCAATCTACAGTTCTAAATATTGTTTAGGAAATCAGCTAGAGTTTTATAAAAAATGCTTTTACATTCCATTAAAATTATCTAGAAATTGAAAGCAGCTCTACATTTCCTAAAAAATTCACTAAATATACAATTGAGACATGAATATGAAAAGCCATTTCCAGTGACAATATTTTCACAGTAGCAAATAATTTGCCAAAAGTTTTCCTATAATATATCTTACAACGGACTCTTTTAAAACGCTATCATGTGTTTTGCCTAAATAACATTGAGGTTTGCCTAAAATACAGAGGAAAAAAAACCCCTAACAATGAAAGCGCAAAAATGTTAACAGAAATGCATATTGTCCAAGTGTAATTTGTGAGTCTCTAATAGAGTAAAGCAATGCATATTGTTAGGGGCTTTAGTTGAAGAATGTGTTCTGTTTTTAGATGAGCGATTGTACTATAAAAACACAGTTCTGGCGCTTTCTTAGGTTACATGGTGTGTGGCCTTAAGGATTAGAATGTAACCGTCTGGGTGTGAACAAGAAAGACACAAAAAAATGGCAAGGGTTGTGATAAGTGCCTGACTATAGACCAGTTGGTATCCTGCCCTCTGAGGTCATCTTTTAATTATTGGTCCCATGTGACCAGGGCCACAAAAAAACCTCAAAAAACAAAAAAGACAGAGAACTTGTCTTAGTATATTTGTTAAAAGTGAATCTAATCATTGTATAAATCTAATCATTGTATACATTATTTGTTATAGTAATTTAAAACCAAACCTTAAGTAATGATGAGGAATCCTCATGCATTTACATAATACACTGCACAATGTAAGCATGGCCTCTTACACTTTTTAATTTAAAGTAATAACCAAGATTAGTTGATAGAGCTGCAGTTTTCTCCTTTCCTTCATCCACAGATTTCCTTAAATGATGGCATCATGCTCGTCAATGGTTCTATACCGAATTCCTCTTCTTGAGTAATATATTTTACATCCAATATAAAGAATAGATAAGACTCCCAGTGTTAACACAATACCACCAACAAAGCTGCCAGTATCAAATTTTGATCCTTTGTTTTCTTCAGAACGAACAGTTGCTGTAACAGAGAGAAAACAAAGCAAAATAGGCATTAGTGTATTTTAACGTTATAATGAAAACTGAATTTCTGTTTAAGAACACTGCCTAAATTTCCCTTCATCCCAAGTTTCTATATTCATTTTCATAGAATACAGTGATGAACTAAATGTGCTGTAACAGCTTACTTGCAGCATAGGAAAAGCAGGACAGTGTAAATACATACTTGCCAGCGATACTGGTAAACTATTGTGGGTGGTGGTGGTTGTGGCTATGGGTATCTTGGTTACGTTCTGTGCAACACTTGTTGCTCTAGGCGTA